ACGACGCCCCGTGGGTGTGGCGATGTCACTGGATCTACCAGCCACGTGAGTTACCACTGTCCCAGGCCACATGCGGGTCTGCTGCCCGCATCACATTGATGTCACCGACGATGCTGCCCGACTTCATGACGTCACGATGTGCTGCCCGACTTCATGACGTCACGATATCTGCCTGACGTCACTCGAGATGTCTGCCTGACGTCACCCCGAGATGTCTGCTGACGTCACCTCGCGACAATCACGCCCGGGCATCACATGATGTCACCATCGAAATGTTCAGTAATAATTTCAGTATTGTAAGAAGATCGAGAGAAGATATATTTTTTGTGTTAATTCCTCTGTGTTCTCACATTTTAGTATGTCTTAGAGTCAGTTTTTTGCAAGAAAAGCATCATTTGCTAGTTTAAGCCAAGTTGTACCGCATGTACCGCGGGTGTTAAAGTTTCCTGTGTCCCGTGAGGTCTGAGCCAGACCTGAGTAGCACCACTGTGCAAAAGTCACCCGGTGTGGCCAGTACGTTTGACAGCTGATGTCAAGTCAGCCCCTGAGTGAAATGAGCCCTCTTGTACAGAAAGCTTTTATGCTCGTCGCTCGTGATGTTCTGCAGAATCGTACCTGCTACAATTCCCATTTAGATTTGTTTCACTTCACCTCCAGACCTTCAGAATGCAGTTATATGTAGAGAAACAAGTCTGGGGACATTTAGACTAACCTCTGCTATAACTCCAACTGCCCAGAGGAAAAGATAAATCGCCAAGCCGCAGTTAGGGCCCCGTCGGCAGGGCTGTGTCAGCTCGTGTCACAAGCTTCAGTTGAGCAGCCTGCACAAAGATGATGTCACTTTGACTGCTAGCTCATCCAACGCAGTCTGGTGTATGTGTTATGGACTCCCAGATGTTTCGCCCAGTCGTCTCTGCCTCAACTCGCTCACAAAATCGCTCCACGCTCGCAGAGGCAGTGACCAGCTCAGCGACAGTACCAGTCGAGAAGTGTCCTCCTGAGTCGCTTGCAGAAGTCCTTCCCGAGTTACCGAGTATTGTCGACACCCATCTCGAGAGCACAGCATGTCGTGCCCACACGTTGAGTGAACTGCCAGTGACCCTACTATACTGCTTTACACCGTTCCAGAGGAGATCGTACCCTGTTACGTCACAGCTCAGCCGCAGCGATGTCTCCGTGTTGCAGTATCTGTCCAGATGAAGGAAGGTCGTGCGTTGATGTCCATCGACACTCACTGCCTTTGACCACGATGTTTAGGCACACCCCACATGTTATTTTCTTACCTCCCTGTAGGAAGTTTTTTTTTTCCATGTCCATATGTATATATATGTTTTTAGTTTGTGTTCTAGTGCCCTGTTCCTACGAGAGAGAGCCCGGAGTTTCTTTTATCACAGTATTGTAGCGTCCGTACGCTGTGCGGTAGGCGGCCGAGCATAAGTAGACAGCATGTACTGTCTGCACAGACAGCCTGCGTTCTCGCCAGACTTAGTTCATATTTTGCGCACTCACGATGCTGCCCTTGTAGCCAGGCCTCTCGGTAGGCCGCCAGCCTGTCTGCCCTTGACAAGCTATCTCACTCCTGGAGTCATCCTCAAGCAGTCAAGAAGCCTACTCTCTCTCCCTCGTTGGCATGGCCCTCCGGCGCAATGGCACAAAACACACAAGCCTGTGTACCTACCACGACATAACAATAAAGTAAGAAGCCTCCGAAGAAGTTTATCATTTACTCCCCGCTACCAAGAACACCAACAAATATTCGTTATAGGTATTGTATACAGTGTTGTAGTACTTGGTACTGTGTATAGTGTTGTGTCCTGGTATTGTGTACAGGTTGTAGTCCTGGTATGTGTACATTGTTGTAGTCCTGGATATTGTGTACAGTGTTGTAGTCCTGCGTATTGTGTACGTGTTCTAGTTCTGTAATTAGTGTACAGTGTTGTAGTCCTGGTATTGTGTACAGTGTTGTAGTCCTGGTATTGTGTACAGTGTTGTAGTCCTGGTATTGTGTACAGTGTTGTGTCCTGGTATTTGTGTACGGTTCTTGTAGATCTCATGGTACTGTGTATAGTTTGTAGTCATTGGTATTGTGTACCGTGTTGTAGGTTCCTGGTATTGTGTACAGTGTAGATAGTCTGGTATTGTGTACAGTGTGTTTAGTCTGGTATGCATATAATTTTTTAGTCCTCGGTACTGTGTAGCAGTGTTGTAGTCCTGGTATTGTGTATAGTGTTTAGTCCTGGTACTGTGTATAGTTTGTACTCGGTATTGTGTACAGTGTTGTAGTCCCGATATTGTGTACAGTGTTGTGTCCTGGTATGTTACAGTGTTGTGTAGTCCCCTGTATTGTGTAACAGTGTTGTTAGTCCCTGTATTGCTTATAATTTTAGTCCTGGTACAGTGTTGTATAGTTGTTGTTAGTCCTGGTATTGTGTATGTGTTTAGTCCTGGTTAATGTGTATAGCTTTGTAGTCTGGTATTGTGGTACTGTGTTGTCAGTCCTGTATTGTGTACAGTGGTTGTAGTCCTGGTATTTGTTACAGTGTTGTAGTCCTTTATTGTGTATAGTGTTGTAGTCATTGTATAGTGTATAGTGTTGTCTCCCAGTACTTCCCGCCGTATTGTTGTACACGTGTTGTAGTCCTTGTATTTGTGTATAAGTGTTGTAGTCCCTAGGTATTGTGTATAGTGTTGTAGTCCTGGTATTGTGTATAGTGTTGTGAGTCCTGGTATTGTGTATAGTGTTGTAGTCCTGGTATTGGTACAGTGTTGTAGTCCTGGAATTATGTAATTGTTGTAGTCCTGGTATTGTGCACGTGTTGAAGTTCTGGTATTGTGTACAGGTGTTGTAGTCCTTGTATTGTGTTTTGTGTTGGTAGTCCTGGTATTGGTGTTATAGTGTTGTAAATTCCTGGTATTGTGTATAGTGTTTGTAGTCCTTGTATTGTTTATAGTGTTTGTAGTCCTGGTATTGTGTTATGTGTTGTAAGGTCCTGGTATGTGTATAGTGTTGTTCCTTGGTATTGTGTATAGTGTTGTAGTCCTGGTATTGTGTACAGTGTTGTAGTCCTGGAATTATGTACATTGTTGTAGTCTGGTTTTGTTGCACTGTGTTGAAGTTCCTGGATTGTGCTACAGCGTTGTAGTCCTGGTATTGTGTAAGTGTTGTTAGTCCTGGTATTGTGTACAGCGTTGTAGTCCTGGTATTGTGTTTAGTGTTGTAGTCCTGGGTATTGTGTAATAGTGTTGTTAGTCCTGGTATTGTGTATAGTGGTGTAGTCCTGGTTTGTGTATAGTGTTGTAGTCCTGGTATTGTGTACACGTCGTTGTAGTCCTGCGATTGAGTACAGTGTTGTAGTCCTGGATATTGTGTACCTGTGTTTGTAGTCCTGAGCTTTGTGTATTAGTGTTGTAGTCCTGCGTATTGTGTATAGTGTTTGTAGTCCTGGTATTGTGTATAGGTTGTAGTCTGGAATTATGTAATTCGTTGTAGTCCTGGTATTGTGTACAGTGTTGTAGTCCTGGTATTGTGTATATAGTGTTTTGTCCTGGGATATTGTAGTACAGTGTTGTCGTCCTGGTATTGTGTACAGTGTTGTAGTCCTGGAATTATGTACCATTGTTGTAGTCCTGGTATTGTGTACAGCGTTGTAGTCCTGGTATTGTGCTACAGTGTTTGTCAGTTCTGGTATTGTGTTACAAGCGTTTTGTAGTCCTGGTATTGTGTACAGCCGTTGTAGTCCTGGTATTGTGTAACAGCGTTGTAGTCCTCGGGAGTATTGTGTACAGTGTTGCTAGTTCTGGTAATTGTGTACAGCGTTGTAGTCCTGGTATGTGTACAGCGTTGTGTCCTGGTTTGTGTACAGCGTTGTAGTCCTGGTTTGTGTACAGTGTTGTAGTTTGGTATGGTGTACAGCGTTGTAGTCCTGGTATTGTGTACAGCGTTGTAGTCCTGGTTATTGTGTACAAGCGTTGTAGTCTGGTATGTGCATACAGCGTTGTAGTCCTGGTATGTGTACAGTGTTGTAGTTCTGTTATTAATATCTTCACTAACTCTCATTACTAATATTCTTCACTACATTCATTCACTAATATCTTACTACTATTATCACTTAATATCTTCATACATTCATCACTAATATTCTTCACTACATTTCATCACATATCTTCACTCATTCATCACTAATATACTTCACTACATTCATCACTAATATCTTTCACTACATTTCATCACTAATATCTTCACTACAGTTCACATTATATCTTCACTACATTCATCCAATATCTTCACTACAATCATCACTAATATCTTCACTACAATCATCACTAATATCTTCACTACATTCATCACTAATATCTTCACTACATTCATCACTAATATCTTCACTACATTCATCACTAATATAATATTCTTCACTACACTCATCACAATATCTTCTTCACTACACTCATCACTAATATCTTCTTCACTTACACTCTTCACTAATATCTTCTTTCACTACACTCATCACTAATATCTTCTTCACTACACTCATCACTATATCTTCTTCACGACACTCATCACTTAATATTTCTTCACTACATTCATCTCTAATATCTTCACTACGTCATCACTAATATCTTCACTACACCATCATTATATCTTCACTACTATTCATTCTAATATCTTCACTAACATCATCTTAATATTTCACTACGCTCTCCATCCTAATATCTTCACTACATTCATCTTAATATCTTCACTACGCTCATCATAATATCTTCACTACATTCATCTCTAATATCTTCACTCACTTCATCACTAATATTTCACTACGCCTCATCACTAATATCTTCACTACATTCATTCTAATATCTTCACTACATTCATCTCTATTATCTTCACTACGCCTCATCACTAATATCTTCACTACGCCTCATCACTAATATCTTCACTACATTCATCTCAATATCTTCACTACATTCATCTCTAATATCTTATACATTCATCACTAATATTTCACTCGTGCTCATCACTATATCTTCACTACGCTCATCCACTAATATCTTCACTACATTCATCTCTAATAGCTTCACTACATTCATCTCTAATCTCTTCACTACATCATCTCTAATATCTTCACTCACTACATTCATCTCTAATATCTCACTACGTCATCACTAATATCTTCACTACATTCATCTCTAATATTTCCTACATTCATCTCTAATATCTTCACTACATTCATCTCTATATCTTCATACGCTCTCACTGATATCTTCACTACGCTCATCACTAATATCTTACTACATTCCATCTCTAATATCTTCCCTACGCTCATCACTAATATCTTTCACTACATTCATTTAATCTCTTCACTACATTCATCACTAAACTTCACTACATTCATCACTAATTATCTTCACTACGCTCATCACTAATATCTTCACTACATTCAGTCTCTAATATCTTCACTTATATTCATCTCTATATCTTCATACGCTCAATCACTAATATCGTCACTACGCTCATCACTAATATCTCACTACACTCATCATTATATTCTTCACTACATTCATCATAATATCTTCACTAATTCATCTTAATATCTTCACTACATTCATCTCTAATATCTTCACTACATTCATCTCTAATATTTCACTACACTCATCATAATATCTTCATACGCCCTCATCACTAATATCTTCACACATTCCATCTTAATATCTTCACTCGCCTATCACTAAATATCTTCACTACATTCATCAATAATATCTTCACTCCTCATCACTAGGCATCTTCACTACACTCATCACTATATCTTCACTACACTCATCACTAATATCTTCACTACATTCATCCTCTTAATATCTTCACTACATTCAATCATAATATCTTCACTACGCCTCATCACTAAAATCTTCACTACACTTCATCACTAATAATTTCACTACATCATCACTAATATCTTCACTACACTCATTACTATCATCTCTACACCAAACAATATTTACCAATATCATTAGTTTTAAAGTACTGATGACCTGCATTTTTCATGCCTCACAAACTCAAAATAGAATTGTTATTCCAGTGACCTCAACTTAAATAATTTTTTTCATAAAATAAAAGAAAATATAAAATATTTTACAGTGAAAATTTACGAGAAATTTCTCAAATGTGAAATTTCGTATATATTTCATTTTTCTCTTTCAGTGAATGTTGGTTGTGGCAGGTCACTTTAAAGTGACAACTTCGCCGAACAATGTTTCCTGACGAGGGAGATGGCCTGGGCCAGGAGAATTTGGGTGAGGCTACCCTCAGAGGGATTATCCTGGGTGAGGCTGTCCCTTGAGAGGGGCTATCCTGATGGAGGATATTTTTGGAGGGGATATCCTGGGGGAAGGATAATTCCTCATAGGCGGGATATCATGGGGGAGGATATTCTTGGGAAGCGGATATTCCTGGGGAGTTATTCTGGTAGGGGATACTGGGGGAGGGGATATTCTCGATGGGGATATCTGGGGGAATGATTATCTCGGAGGGTATACCTAAACGACGGTATAAACAGGGATCTAATCTAATTTCTTGATTATTTTCCCAGTCGTCAACATCCATTTTGGTGTTGTAGAGAATGAAGGACATCTGCTTTTGGTCTCCAAGGAGAGAGTGTGAAGTTGTTTCTTGTACAGGCTGTGTTGGTTTATCAGAGAAGGAAGCTATCCAATGAATCTTTTCTAGTCTTGTTGCTTTATGACTTACCTGTGGCTTCTGAGAGGAACCATTTTAAAGGTCTTTTAATGTAATAATTTAATCAGAGAAGGAATCAAGGTCATTATCGTTACCTGTACAGGTTGTACTTCGGTTGGGTTGTGAAAGTCGACGAAGATGCAGCAGCTGTCGCCCTTTGATCCATCATGCACCTTATTGTCGTGAATCACTGACTTTCGGTACTTTCCCATGCTTCATGTGTGATTGTGCCTCACTTCCTCACTGAATTGTCAAGTTTTTCCTTCATTTTCTTTTCTTCTTGACTCAGTTTTATTTTTCTCCTTTTTAATTTTGTTTTCTTGTAACTTTTGTTGGTTTTCTGGAAACATCATCTAATAGTGGCTTTTTCCTCCTTGCCGGATGAAGTCATAAAGAGGTTTTATTTGTGGGATCAAGCCAGCACATACCTTGATTAGTCCACTCAAAATTATACCTCGACCCATTCTCTTTCAACCCCAACACCAGCAGTTCCGAGGTTTTTGAAATTCCCGATATCAGTTAGTAGAGTTTGCATTCAATAGAGTTTGCAATGTCAATAGAGTTTGAAGTTTCTTTGACACTCCTTTCTCTTGCCATATTTCATGTAAGAGTCTATAAATTCCTCGGAAAACAAGATCCCGAGGGTCTTTTGTATGAGGATGTTTGTCTGAGCAAAACACATCAAGTTATTCTACATTGGTATCTTTTTCATCTTGATTAGCAGTTTCAGTATTTTCATATTCTCATCATAAGTGTTTGAACCATACGTGTTCTTTAGTAACTTGAGACGACAGATTCCTTCACACTAATATTTTCTTGCGGGACACCACTGAGGGTTAACTATTTGTGAATACATTTGTAAAATAGGCACCTTAGAATTAAGGAAGTATTAACCCAATTTTCTTAAATAATATTAATTGTAAAGGTAAAGATATATGGTATTTTAAAAATAGTCAAATTATAATATTAGTTAGCTAGACCACTCATGAGTGAAGGAACTCTAGCTCAAGTGTCTTTTATACCAATAATTGTAAGGTAAAGATATAAGCTATTTAATAATAGGCACATTATATAGTTCAACACTCAAGAGTGAAGGAAGTATCAGCCTAAGTTTCTTAAATAATAATAATTGTAAGATAAATATATAAGATATTTAAAAAAATATTCAATTTATAAATATAGTTAGATGCTGAAGAGTGAAGGATGCTCTAGCCCAAGTTTCTTAACCCTTAACTGTCCAAACGTAGATCTACATGCATGTGTGTAGTGCACTGAATGTAGACCAACGTTTTATTTTTCATTTCTTCAAATTTGGCATGATGGCCTGAGATGCCTGGTCAGTATAGAATGGGTCATAACACTCAGTGTCTGCAGTTTACATATTTCATCGCTCTGCTCAGGTTTCCTGTTATATTTCATAGGTCTGGACGGGTTCCCCGGTCACATTTCACTGCCTTGGACAGGTTTCACTGTCATATGTCATCGACCGTAGAGAGGTTTTCCTTTTCATATGTCATCGCCCTGGACGGGTTTCTGTGTCATATTCTATCGCCCTGGACACTTTTCCCCATCATATTTCATCTCCCTTGACAGGTTTCCCTCTCATATCAATCGCCATAGACAGGCGGGTTTTTCTCTCATTTCCATTGAGCTGGACAATTTCCCTGTCATATTACATTTCCCTCGACGGGTTACGTTGTCATATTTCATCGCAATGACGTGTTACGCCGTCAAATTTCGACGCATTGGATGGTGTTTTCTGTTATATTTCACTGCTTTCTGTCATAGCTAAGTTTCCCCTGTCGCATTTCATAACATATGACAGTTATCCCTTTCATATTTCACAACATTGCCTAGGCTCCTTGCATGTTTCATCGCCTCATGGACAACATATTCCTTTTTCATATTTCATTGCTGAGGGAAAGTTCAATAGATAGGTAGCGAGGGAGTATAATAACCCAATAGTTTCATTGCCGACTACTTGTTAAGGCAGGATAAGTCAAGCTCCCACTATTCCCGCCTTTTTTCCCCCACCCCGAAAGTGATAGTTTGACTGCCGGCTGCTTGTTAAGGTAGGGTCAGTCTAGCTCCCGCTATCCCTTCCCCTCCTCCTTCCCCCCCCCCCCCCCGAAAGGTGACGTGTGGGGCTCTGGTCCAAACAGTAATCACTAGACTCACAGTTCCCAGCACTACTGTAAGTACATGCCTGCCTTGTATTCTAGTGCATTTATTGGCTGAAAGCTTCACTTTTGACCAATAATAAACTTAGTCCTTTCAGTCTTGCTCTAAGTTGACTGTTGTAATAATCACCACATCTTTTAGGTATGTACTTATCATGGAGAGTGATTTCTTAAGCAGTGGGTAACCAGTCTATCTTTCCAGCTTGGATGACAGAGAGGGTCACCTGCCAATCAACGAGTAGAACTGATGGAGATGGACTAACGTCCTGAGACTTCCCCTTTTTGGATTTAATTACCTGTGCACCTGTATGAAATTGCAGGACATAGCCCCTCATCATTGCAGTGGTAAAGAACCTGCTTTCCTGTCATAGGGATAGAATACTCAAGGCTATACTGTGAAGAACGAACCAGTGGGTTGTAACCAACACCTGCGACCCCCCCCCCCATCATCAGCAACTGCTACGATTTCAACAACACTCTGTCACCAACCCAACACCCCTATATATATTAGCGTTGAATTCAGTTATCATTTATATTTTCATTTTTTATTTTCTTTAATTTTAGGATTAATATTTCATATTTAAGTGTTTTTATTTTCTATATAATGAGTGTTTATGTTTTGTCTGTTATTAAATTTTTTTTTTCTATTCACTAATTTTCCTGAGAGGAGCAGCCTTGGTATACTGTCAAGTTGTTGCAGGCTGAGTAAGCCCTTTACAAGTGGTGACCTTCCAGGACCAACTCGACTGAATCAAGATTCAATTCCATCTCAAATTTAAATTTTGGAACTTCGACGCCGCATCCATAGACTTTCCCACCAGCCATGATATCATTCCTAGGGTAGGACACAGTACAGGTTTTTAAAAAGATTTGGTGTTGATAGTCTCAATTTATGTAAGTCAAGGGGGTTTTGAAGCTCAGCGCGAACAAAAATTTTTTTCCAAAAAAAATTTCACAAACGAGTTAACTTTATAAAAAAATAGCTTAACTCTCGGAAACACAATGAAACCAGAACATTGTTCTGCGACTTTCCCTACAAAGGATTAGGGTCTTTAAATACCCCTAGGGTGACGCACACCCGCGGCGGTGTGCCACCTTCGCAATTTTTTTTTTTTTTTTTTTCCTTTTTTTTTTTTCGTGATTTATTATTTTTTTTCTAAGATAATAATGACGATTTGGTACAAAAAACGTGGGGGGGACTTATACAGAGTTAAACCCAAACCGGGAAC